CTCTTTTACATCTTTAAAACACTCTTCTGTTCCCCTCCTCATTCTCGACTTTTTTCTCCCTGATGTTCCTTCCCCTCTGTGAAGCCTGAAGTCAACTGAAGAACTAATGATAACTATCAAAACGCCTGCCATTTAATATAAATAAATAAATATTGGAATACTTATAAAGATCAGAAGGTTAATAGTGCAACTGAAGTATTCCCATTACAACCATGACTTCAATTTATATCTTCCAGTCGGGCTGCGCCAATACAATTGTGGTGTCAAACTAGATAAGGTTAAAGCGTATAAAGACGTCTGTTGACACTTATCAACCTGTAGAAAGGAAGGATCTACAGCTTCGAGTGCCACTGCAAAACAATCAATTATCATATAGAAACACCAATGATTGGATGATATTGAGCCATCAAGTACGTTGATACTGAAGTATTTGAAATGTGCCAATTGGGAAACCTTACCAACGCGTGTGAAAGCATCATTTAACCATGAGATGTACCTGTGATGTGGGTGAAGGTAGTAGTTAAGTGTCCACTTCTCGCATTTGTGCCAGATACGCTCCTTAGTCAGTCGGTCTTGAGTACTCATTCAAACCTTCCTTCCCGTGTATTACCATATGTATAACATATTTCCCAAACAGTTCATATTTAGTTCACAAACGAATTTGAATGGATTTTCATTTACATTAGAATGGTTCCTTTGATAAGTGATTATTAATTCAAACCCTAAACCTCGATTAAAACCACTCAGAAATTTGATTATAATCAAAATTTGCGGAAAACTTGCCAGGCATCGATATTCTAAAGATGGATCGATAAAAATGAATAACGATGTTACTTCTGTGATATCTACCACCGTGGAAAGTGGCACCTATGTTTAATTCCTGATATCTAGTGTTTACTACTGAACGGATTTTAATAAATAGGGACTTAACTTTGATCAATGATCATGCACTATCGTTTGGACGGTTGGCTGTAAACAATTTAACCGTGGTAAGCATTCGGTTGTCAGTTAATCTGTCTTAGTTTGCACCGCAAAGTCAGTGTGGAATGTGAGCTCTAAGTGGTAAGCTCTGAGTAAATAGAACTCACCTTAATAAACATGACAACTTACTTTTCCTCCATTTGTTTCTGCTTAGCTTGAGCCTTTTCTGAGATTTGCCGCATATCAAGCACCAGCTTATCGTACTGCGCAGCGAGGTCCTTTTTCTCTGCAATTAACTCTTCAATGAGCTGGTAATTCTTCTCCAATTTTGCATCGTACTCCTCTCGAAGACGATTTTCACAATCTTGGAGAGCCTGTTCCAATTCCTCCGCTTGTTGCCTTTCTATTCGACGCCTCTGTTCGGCTAAGTGTTGTTCAAATTGGTCGATATAGGAACCTCGATTAAGAGATGACTATATTTAAAGAAAATCATATGGAAATTTTAACATTCCTGCAAATGCCTACTTGGCTAATAATTTGATTATAAAAATTTTGTGAACACATGAGTGCATAATGCCACTGCGTTCACGAAAATCTTAATCAGAATGCAAATATACAGAATTTCAAGTTTTCCTTTGCAATTATTAATGTTATTTTAGGGAAATTTTCGGTATATAGACTTCGAAGACTTAAGACTGTTGGAATAGCGCACTGCTGAATATAGAAAAAGCCATTATAAACCACAGACAGAGTGACTCATCACTCCAGAATAAGTGACTTTGGCCGATTCAACGCCACTTTCTTTACCTCTTTGTCAGTTGGAAGATATTAGGGTACATTCGGGTGTTTCGCCATTCACAAAGATCTATGTTTATAACCACCGAGATTAAGCATACAATTATAGATAGAAGAGTAAATGTTCACTCAATCATATGGGATCAAGCAACTGCAGAATGGGGGGGGGGGGGGGGGGTAGGGGTCAGGTTAGAAGTGGAGAATTACTGTGATGGAACAATGGTAGCCCTACTTCACCCGAGTTTAATAGGCTTCAACTTATCTAGTTGTTAATAAATGGGTGGAATTTACTTAGTCAGGGCTTGATACTATTAAGGTCAAATGGAAAAAGCTAAGACATTCAGGATTGATTGGTCCGTGCATGTTGAATGAGAAGCAGATATTAGCCAAGATATGTTTAATCTTCTAGTAAGGCACTTCAATTTATTACCGAAGAGATTCCATTATGCCAATTATGGCTCAATGGGGTTGGATGATACACTAGAGCAATGACTTTGTTTTTACTAATAAAGAAGTATATTTTCGTAAACTTTCTCATAAGCTAACAGTTCATATGAGTTGATAATAGCATTGGTGAAGTAGAATCGACGGAAAACTTATTGTTTTTAATTTCAGTCTTTAATGGGCTCAAATAAATCATTTTATTGGCAAGAGAAGGCATTCTCCTGTCCATATTGAAATGTCCCTTAAAATGAAGTTTTAAATCCAAATTTGCTAAAAAATAATAAATTGAACAGTGGTTTTTGTCAAACCACCCCCCCCCCCCCCCCCCCCCCCTCCCCCCTCCTCTACTTAAATATGGACTACATGTGTTGACAACTTAAAGTACGTGTGTCAAATCAGCTTTTATTGGTAATGGGACTTACTTCAGGTGATTTCCAAAACTTGCTTAAAAACATAGTTTTTAGGCAACTTACATTTATTTGGAAATTTAAATGATTAAGTAGTGAAAGATAGAATCACTACGGTAGATTTGTCCATTATCAACTCATCTTGATATCTAGAATAGACAACTTTCCAATTTTCTGTGATAAATTAGCTGTCTATGTATCGAAACCCTTTTTCTACAACCTGGATTTTCCTTGTCTTTGGCATTCGGACGTTACCAGGATGACTACGATTTTATGCCAGCATAAAGGATCATTAAAAATCGGTGACATTGAATGGTGTAATATTCACACAGCAACGCCGGCACGTCAAATCAGTCACGGCAATAAAAACGGAAGGTTAGTGCCAATTTCCATACGATAGACGTAGTTCAGTAATTCAGATAAATCAGGAGGATTTTTTTGTAATATGAGAGATGATGACGCTAATTCTCCCGAACTTGATTATTAGGAGTTATGGCATCTTCCGCTATTAGATGAAAGCAAATTGTCTTTTTTTTGAAGAGGAATTACGAAAATGTTGATAAATAAATGATAAGTAAAAACGAGAGTTACTTATGAGAATCGGTGTCTACAACTGTCACCTAGGCGCCTTTTGATTTTAAAGCAGCTTTATATTTCAGGACTGGGTGTGTGATAGACTTACCTCCACGTGGTGCACCCTGAGCAACGTATACTCATACGGCAAAAAGTCTATTAACCGGCAGTTGCCATCTGACTTCAAACTACCATTACCCCGCTGTATGTCTTATTCGACCCCTTTCATAGTACTCACCATACCTTATCTCTGTCTTTGTCTGTCTGTCTGTCTGTCTCTTACATCTTTGAAACACTCTTTTGTCCCCCCACCTCTCGACTTTATTTCAACTTGATGTTCCTTCCCCTCTGTGAAGCCTGAAGTCAACTAAAGAGCTAATGAT